CCATTTAGAGTGAAGAGCTTCTTCGCATTGCGTACGACAATTGTGTACGGAGAAATTGTGTACGATTTCAGATAAAACGCTAGTCAGGTCCTCAATTAAGCAGAAAAACCAAAAAGAAAATTATGAAAATTATCGAAAACAAATTTTTAAAACAAAATTTTATTTTTTTTATAGAAAAATATAAATGGTCGGATATTTCTGTGCTAATTGCAAAGCAATCGGTTATTCTTGTTTTATGTTACTTCTTTTAATTCATCAAAAAGAAGCGTAATCGTGAATGATATCATGGCAAGTGAGAGGCTATAATAACAGCAAAACGCTTCAGAGCAGTTGAGCTCTACACTGGGTCACACCAGTTATGCTTTGATAAGTTTTGACTTGCACGTTGCAAGGTGATTGATTACCGAAAGCTATAATTTTTATTATTCTGACTGCAGTACAGTATTTCACATGAACATCACTATATCGTATCGTCGATTTGGAAAAAAAAGAACAGACAAGAGCGTTCAAGAGGCAAGTAAATTTAAGTTGATGGAAGGGCACATAAAAAACGCCATTAATTGAGCAAAACAAAACATCGTTGAAACATTTTAAAGTGTTTTTCTCGGCAACCAAGCTGAAAAGAGGAGAATTTATTCTACAAAATCAAAGCAAGTGTTAAAACGTTTTCGACTAATGAGAGCATCTTACTGTCAATTTGTTTTTTTTTATAGTTTGTTGTAGTAGAAAAATTAAAATTTCAAGACAGATATTCACATATCATGTCAAGGCGAAATGCAGCTCGTAGTGTCGCCTAAAATCTTATTAGGAGAGATTTTTATTTTAAAAAGGAGAAGAAGGATATGTATCATCGACGACGGGACTAATTTATCATTTTTTTAAAAGATAACTTTTGCTCTAGTTACTCTAATTGTGAGCTGCTGAGTTTAACCTCAGCTTATTTCAACTATAAAAGAAACAAAGACCAAGATGTTTTTCAGCATTTCATAAAGCATCATTTCGAAGCTAGCTACTTCAAAAACGTATGAAAAGTCACCCCATGATCAAAAAAATTATAATTTACAAAGATTACAGAAAAAACTCATTACAAACAAACAATAATCTTTAAAAAACCATAAAACACTGCAACAATTAAGGTAAATTTGCACTACCTTAAGTACACTTTAACTTAGCTATAAACACCTTCAATTTTTACTTATATTTAATATAGAAGTATAAGAATCAATCTGAAAAACACCTTAAAAACTATTTTATAGGTACATTAACCTTAATAATTATCTTTAGAAAAGTAGATAATATTTTGGTTAGGTACTGCCGTGTATTAGCATCTATTTTTGATTTTTATTTAAGTTTTAAAATTGAAACGATTTAAGGCATGATAATTTTTGCATTTTTTAAAGCGCTCGTCTTAGGATTTTTGTTTTTCAACTTTCAAAAATCCTATAAACATAATTAAATTTTAATTGCCGATAGCCTTGGAAACCTTAGGAGAGCAAAAAAATTTTGACTTTAAATGTTTTTAAATTCGTACATAATTGAGTTTAAATTCGTATTATTTTAGTTTTTTTTTCAAATTCGTACCCATCATTTTCAAAACAGCGAAAAAACTATAAGAAATTCTCAATTTTTTTTTAATCAAATGGACCTTTGAAGGCATGTAAGTCGATATACGACAGCTGAAAAAAAATGAAGCCCACAATTTTCAATCAAAAATAGGTTGAGTTTGCTATTTTATGTTGAAAAGTCAATTATCACACAGAAGAATTTGTTTTGTGTCAAGATGTTAGTATAGAACGATGTTGATAAAATTAAAAGGATATACGCATTCAACTGTATTCAGCTTGTATAAACTGTATAAGCTTATTTTATAAACATTGTACATTCAGCTTACTTTTTCCCTTACCAAAAAATTTGCTATGCATTTTCAAGCTATCCAAGTCTCATCAATTTGTTGGCCACAAAATATACCAAAACTAAGGAGAAGCGTAAATCCAGTAAGCTCCTTTGATTGGAAGTTATAGATATGCAGCAAACCCTTTTAAGAAGATCTTTGTACTCTAAGGGGAGGTACCATCAATTCGGATGTTTTCTCCTGGTACAGTCAATATCAGAGAAAAGTTTATATCCAGAGAAAAACATTTGTTGCGATTCGAGTTGAGATTAAAAAATGTCTTTTCACAAAAAAAACGTTTTAGGACCAATTAGCCAATTTTCAGCCAATCAATAATTTCGTACAAGAAACTAAAAACTTTTTATATCTCGACAAAAAATAGACAGCCACTACAAAATTTTCATGGTTGTCATTTTTTCACCCTGAGGCTGATCTATCACGATTGATAACATAGATAATCAATTCAAAGACGTTTCTGGACTCCAAAGAGAAAACAAAAGCAACGATAAGTTGCTTTTTCAGGTTAAAAATTTAATTAATAATATCTCTTAAGAAGTCTTGTCGTTGCAAAAATTGTTGGTAATTTTGCCGACACTTTTTGGTAATTTTGAAGAAACGCATTAATACCAAACTGGTAAATAGTGCGCATTAAAGATCCCAAATTGGCAATTACAAACCCTCATAATTATACAAAAAACGATAAAGCCGGGCTGAACAAAGCCTCAACTTCGGGCTGAACATATGAAAAAATTTAATAAGTTTTGCTACTCTATATTTTTAACTGACAGCATCCAATCTTACGGTTAAGAATTTCAAGTTATATCACTAGTTTTCAAATCTACGTTTTTTGAAAAGTATTTTAAAAATCATGAAAAACGCCATATCTCAGAAACAAAAAAATTGAGCGGTAAAAGTTAGAAAGCCAGTTTCGACCCTGAGAGTACGCCCTGAATGTACCCTACAGAACCCCAGTTGAAAATTTCAAGATCAGTTAGTTGAATAATTTGAAAATTTCAATTTAAAAAGCCAAATCTCGGAAACTAAAGGGACCTAAGCAGTCCAAATATAAAATGCAAATTTTCAACGCTGATATGTCACTGACAGTACCGCGCCTTAGTATTGAGAATTTGAAGTTCTGTTAGTTTTTTATATCTAATTTTTGGAAGAAAAAAAATGAAAGAAATCAAAAAACTCTTGGAAACCAAAAAAGATTTGAGCAGTCATTTTTGGAAGCCAGTTTTGCAACTTCTGAGTGTAGCCTTGCAGCAACCCAGTACATCGTTGAGCATTCCAAGTTCGGTTAGTTTATTTTATTTCCAAATTTTTTGAAACAATAATAAAAAATCACAAAAACCGCCATCTCGAAAACCCAAAAAGATTTGAGCAGTCATACTTGGACGCAAGATTTTCAACCCCTGAGTGTACCCTAGCAGCACCCCACTATAAGTTTGAGAATTTAAATTTTAGTTAAATTGTGAAACAAAAAATTTGATAACTTTACTTTGCGAATCGAGGAAAAATGTAGTTGAGCATTCGCGCTCCAACAGAATTTAAAACTTCGACTTGAGTAAATATATTAACCCTTGCAATGTTTTGGCAAATAGTCTTTTAAAAGGCCAAAACATTGCAAGGGTTAATATATTTACTCAAGTCGAAGTTTTAAATTCTGTTGGAGCGCGAATGCTCAACTACATTTTTCCTCGATTCGCAAAGTAAAGTTATCAAATTTTTTGTTTCACTGTTTTGCAATGTTTTGGCAAATAGTCTTTTAAAAGGCCAAGTTACACTGTTTAAGCATAACAATGTATAAAAATTCTTTCGTTAAACATTAGTTAAATGCTTAAACATGACAACATAGGGACTTCTTAAATGTGTCATGTGAAATACCAATTAAATAATGTATAGATGTTGATAAAAAAAAATTTAAAATTTAATCTTTTCTGATTTTTTTCTATTTTTCCTAATGGGTTTCAGGGGAGGGATTCCGCCTAGACCCATACGAACTTTCCTCGAAAAGCTTAAAGTTGGGAGGAAAAAACAACACTTATGCCAGTTTTTCACATATTTTATGGGGCGGTAGTTGTCAGAAAAAATTGAGCACCTGGCGCTTTACAAGTAGTACATATTTTATTAGTAGTATATGCGTCAAAAAACCTTGAAAACAAAAATTTGGAATTTGTACTAAATTTTTCAACTTCTATGTTTTTTCTTCGACACTGAGATAGGTTGATTGCTTTCAAAGTAAACAAATGTCCAGTTGATAAAACTGAATATTCATCTCATTTAAAGCAAATAAAAAAAAAGAACTATTTGTTTTACAAGTTAAAACTAAACTAATCGTAAAAAGTTTTCTCTCTAGATAAACAGCCGCTCTGCACTAAGTTTGAGACTTAAAAGCCAAAAAATTGAGACCAATTTTCTCGGCACTGAGAAAACGTCACTGGAATCAGAACCACGACTGAAAGGTTCAAATTAGTAACCAAAATTAAACTATACGAGAGCTTGTTTAGTTTTGGTACCAACTATAGTTGGAACAAAATTCAGCTTTCTCCTAACTTTTTTCTACTACCAAAGTTGTCAGAACATCAGATCAACAAAATTTAGACTCTGCTTGCCTTAGGTAGCCAAATTTTTAAATTCATGGATGAGAGAAAAAATTTGCTCGTCAAAAATTACAACTAATTCAAAATGTCACTGCTAGATGAGACTTTAATGCGAGGCGTAACTGTCACACCAGTGCTCTACTCAAAGAGTTATACTCGCTTCCGGTTAAACAAAGGATTCAGTATAAAGTCGCGTGTATCAAGTTTAAAATTCACGATAAAAGTGCCTCTGATCAATTTATTTTAGCCTAAACTTTTACGAAGATCAAAAAAGGAAAGAATTATGAAGTAACTTTCTGCCGTACTGAACAGCACAATAGGTCATTTATTCAAAGTGAAGCAGTTACATATAATACTCTGCCTGTTTTTGTGCGCAATTTGAACAGCTACAAGAAATTCAAACGAGCTCTTAAGACGTACTTATTCTGCCAAGCAATTTGATCATACGGTCCACCTTTGCAATAAGACTGAGTGGCAAAACCTACATCATCATCATCATAAAAAAATCGACTTAACATTAAATTAAAATCTTCGTGCACAATAACAGCACCGTAAGAGTGTACAAAATTATAATGAGATTGTCAGAATTAGAAAGTGAGTCTCGCGCAATGAGACAACCAATTTAGCTCAAACATTATAAAAATAAATTTATTTAGTTTACTGCCACTATCGACTGCCTTCTCACTGCTTCAATAAATTTTATCAATTGGTCCGTGTCGAATTCCAATGGTCGCAATTTCAACAATTAAATAGACAATAACTAATTCTAACTTAACATGAACAATTAAAGTTATAAATAATCAAAATAATCTATTTATCTACAGTTTTCTCAGCGAGGTGCTTCGTGGAGTTCGTCCATAATTTATTTCAGCTAATTCATTTTGGAGTGATTCTCGTATATAAGCGAGTTAAGATACTGCCTTTGCGCGCTCTGAAGGAAGTCCAAGTCGCTAGCACGTCTTTTGTTCATCATCTCCTGAGTTGGTGTCTCCCAGCCCCCCTCGCCGTTTCCCCCCTCTTCCCACCCATCCGGTATTAATGGACTGAAAGTCGATAATTGGACATGCATCACAGGTCGTTCGTTTCTGATCTCGAACGAACTCTCCAAATCATTTTGGTGGCTAAGATGTTCATTCATCTGTTTAGGTTCTCGTGTGTAGTTTCTTGATGCAGTTGGAGTTCTTGATGAATTCGGGGGAATCACATCACGAATCGTGTATTTCCTCTGAAGAGTTAATGGTTGCGGACCAACGGATTCCGAAGAATGAATAGAGTTGCGGCGTCGGGAGAAAAAGGGACTTGCTACTTTATTACATACTGCGCGGGTAAAACTGGAACTCTGCTTGACCTTATTATTCATTTCGAAAGAAACATTAGCCGAACTGCCCGAAAAAACTTTCCCTGCATTTGCTGACAAATCTCTATTGCTCATGTCAACTTCAGTTTTGTTAGAATTAGGTGATTTCTTAGTTCCGTTCTTTTTCAGCAGACCACTTAATGGCATCGACCGTGACCTTGAGTGACCTGAAGATGACGATGGAGTAGGCGAGGACAGCGAAAGAGATTGAACCAGAAGTGAGAGGGGACTGGCTTTTGTATTTTTCCTAGCGCCCGGTCTCCTTCCACCCAATGAAGGCGAGTAGCTAAGGGTACTCGATCGGGACCCAGGAACCCCTTCACTGCGTATGTTTCCAGACATAGTCTTACATGTCATTGGTATTTGAAGACTTGCAGTCAACTCATTTGATAAATTTGGAACATCATTATCACCAGGAGCGTATTGACGAATACTGTCATCCCAAGTGGTGAGATAATCGGTACGGGTTACAGCTAGGCTGATAGAACTGTGTTGGATATTTGGATAACGAGGGGGCTGGAGGAAGTCATCTTGTTCGATTAGGACGAATGGGTCGCTCGATGAAGTGGAAGAGGAGACGCTGGCTGTATCAAGCAAAGTTGGTTCTAGTTGTAGTGGTTGTTGTAGTGAGGATGTAATCTGTAATAAATACATTTAAATTAGGCACACATGATTTCATACAAGTCCACGCGGCCAAAAGAGTGTCTTAGGTTAGGAAAAAAACGGAGGCGTATAAAACAGGGGCGGATCTACGATTTTCTCGAGTGGGCGGATTTTCAAAAAAACTTCGAAAATTTTGTCGACCTTCTTTTTAGATCGACCAAATTGATTTTCTGAGCTCTCTCAAAGCAAAATTTAAAAATTTTGAAAAAAAACGGCCAAAAAAGCCGTTTTTACGCACTTTTTGGAAAATTTTTACCAAAAAATCGCGTTTTTCCGGCGCGCGCTCCCCCTCAAATTTAGTCTATATTGGCTCCATAGGCGCCTTAAGAAAAATTTTAGGGTCCGTCACCAAAAATGGATATCTCAAAATACTACAAAGGTGGGACCCTTTGGGTCGGCAGGGGGTCGAATCCCTGTAGGGGGGGGGGGGGGGTCCGCCCTCCTAAATCCACCCCTGGTACAAAAGCATGCCCTGTTAGCGAAAATGTCTGGATCAGGTTAACATTCTGTACTATAGGTATAGCTACTCACAGGTGAATTGAATTGAGAGTGATCTCGTGGTAACTGTCTATTCTTGCCCAGCTGATAAGGCTCCTCCTCGTCCACTAAAACATCGACAACACTCAATCTCAAACTGCAAACTTCATCATAATCGCCAATCATTATACTAAAGTGCACACTGAACCGTGCAAAAATGGACCCCATGAGCGATCATCTTAAGAGATCAGAAAATATAAGACAAGACAAAAGATAACAATTACAGAACAGGTAGTTGGTAATAATATAAACCACTGAAAACTCTTCTTGCCATCGCTACCTACTTAACTAATGTCCACCTTTGTTAAGTAAGCCCAATGGTCGAGCAAAGCATACTGAAAAATGTCTCCTCTATTTTAAACGCCTCGTTGTAAAATAGGTGCACCAAATATAAATAGCTAAAACTACGCGCTTTGACTTTAGAGTAACTCGTGTCACTCTTCGGGAACCTTCAGTTTGCTTTAGCTTCAGAACCACCAAAAGCTAAGCAAAAAAAGGCTTGAAAAGGTTATCAAAACTCATGATCGAATTAATTCAACGTCATGCAACAACTAGTCAAGATTGATATCCTCAAAAATTCAATGAAGATGTCCGAACTAGCATACGAGAAGTTAGTTTTCACAAAGAAAATAGGAACAAGTCAACAACATGCAATCAATTGAGTTAAAAAAAACAGACTATCCTAAATTTGCGTTTAAATTAGGTATCTTTTCCTTCATTATTACATCTCTATTTCACATCTAAAAACTACTGTTTAAGTCCGTAGTAATAAAGTGTTAGTACAAGTACAGTTGTAGTACAGTTTAGTTTACTAATGAAACTATAAAAACTAAGCAGGACAACAGACGAACACTACTCTTCTAAATTACCTTCATCGTCTGTCTAAGGATCTTTTCGGTTTACTCTCAACTGACCAACTAGCCATCTACTGACCGTGTATTGTACACACTTATTATAGCACATACAGTTCAGTTGAGTTAGAGGCTAGTTAGTAGTTGGAGAACTGTCTGGAGTAAGAATGAGGACCTGCCATCCTCCCTGAAAAGAGAAACTCAGTCGCTGAAAATGCCAAATGCAAAACACTCATAATGCAAATGGCAGATTGATAGAAAATCCACCTCCAGATATCAATATATAATTTAAAGCAATTTTCATACATTTTAGAGGCTAAAACAATATTTTTTATGTCAATATTTTGAATGAAACAGGATTCGATTTCGATCAATTTACCAATATAATTATCAGCTAGTGGTTTTCAAAAGGAGTGAAATGATGAATCCAAATCAGCCCGTGAAACAATTATAAATAAAAACTGGCGGGTAGTTGGCAAGACATCAAGTCTGGCTTATAAAATTAACGATTACCGTATTAAATGACAACTATAGATACTTATTGGGTAAAAAACACTAATTTATTGGGGTGTATAGCATCCATCTGGCCATTACGCAAAGAATTCTAATATTTTGTTCTTCTTAATTGAAAAGCTTACCGTTGTTGTTTTGTCTGTGGTTATAATGATTTCCATTCTGCTTCTGTTGATTTGCAGCCAGTGTTCTACACTGCTGGGAGTAGAAGTTATCTCCACCGTCTCTCGAGTGGTTTGTCAGAATAGCCGAAGGATCTAATAGACTATCGATGCTGTTCGATTTGTTTCTGCTGCTTCTTAGGTCTCTGCTGAACCGTTTCTCATGCCCTCCCCCTCCCCCGTGCAGTCGGGTGAGACTGAGGTCTTTGGTCCTGCCGTGGCTCCCGCTCTCGTTCTGGTGGTAAGCACCCCTAATCAGAGTCAAATACACATCATTAGTAAATTATATTAAGCAGCTCATAAAATTAAACTTTTGCATTGGAGTTTGAATTCAAAGTTTGCATTGGCTATAACACTAGATGCACATAAGGCTATATCAAAAGATGTCAGCAATAACTTCAGCTTTAACGAAACCCTTCTTCTACCACACAATATAAAGTAAATTTCGCAAAAAAGCACAATTCATGAGATGATCATTTACCTGTATGTTAAGGATCCATTCATCGTATCTCCGTCTCCTCCGTAAACAGCACTAGTTGTAGTGTCCAACATGTCCATTCGCCTACTACTACCATCATCTCTATCGCCTGCATTATGCATCTGCCTAGTACCCGTATTGTTCGCCCAAAGTGGAATACTTCTATCTTTACCATCTCTACTGGTCAGCTGCTGTTGCTGCATGAGGTGTTCGAAGTTATCTTGCACTCTCAGCTGGTCCAGGACTGTCATGTCTTTCGTGTGTGCTCTGATGTCGGCTGTGAACCTCAGGAGGTCGTCTTGGTTGGAGCAGATGAAAGTGAATGAGCACTTGCCCTGACACATACTGCCCGTACTGCTGTAGCTTCCCATGCCTGAGTGCACCATGTCTCGACTTGAGAGAGTCAGTCCCCACTGCTGAGGAATTCCTGAAACCACTCCAAGTTAAGTGTGTATTCTCAACTTCCATATCAATACACTTTCAATTTTCAGTCAACTTCGAATAAGATATTTTTCACGAATGAATCTGAAGATTCGCTGAAAAACTTACAAAACTACTGAAAAAATTGATATGTTAAATTTTGCGAAACAAATGTTTCCTGAATGAAATAAAAAATAAACATTCTTCTTCCTTGAGCCCACCAATTAGCGTTCAAAAACGGCTGGCAAATATTGAGTTTAAGTTTGATGCAGTAATAGACACTCCAACTCATTTTCCAATCATTGGTTCGTATATTGGTGCTGTGGCGCATCGGTAGTGATGGTGCATAGCAATCATATGATTGCGGGTTCAAATTTCACGTGCGCTGCAATTTACAAGGTGCGCTTTTGTAAGAGAGCCATAGCTTAGTTGACCTCAAATAATTAACCTCCGGGTTAGGATTCTGGCTGGTTAGCTAAAAAAATATATTGAAGAAAATTCAAAATTTTTAACTCTCATTCATAAAGAAACGTCTTAGAGAATCAATTGTTGTATTACAAAATACTCTCTTTAAGCAATATTACTTCTAGGTGCTATTAAATTCCCTACCGCTCCTATTATTGTGTGCCATTGCTGTAGCCGATACATGAAGTCTAGAACTACTGCTGCTACTAGTCGTGAGGTCGAAAGTGTCCATTTGGAGACTGAGGAGGGGAATGTCGAACTGGTGGGAGAAGTTCTGGGCCAACACAGACAGCAGATCACCCCCTCCTGCCCCGTTAGCATTGCGGGAGGAGCTTGACTTCTTCTTGCCCACGTTCTCTTTTGTCGCTCCCTATAAAAATAAATACGAAAATTATATCAGACCAAACCGGAGGATGGAACTTAACGCCAACTGCCAAAGTTGATTTTCCTACGTGCAATCATGAATAGCTTAAGCTTTCAAATGAGATAATACGAAAAAACTAAATGATAAAATTAAATACGAAAAAACTTATATCAGAGAAAACACGAGGATGAATTTTTACGCTAACTGCCAAAGTTGATTTTCCTACATGCAATCATGAATAGTTAAGCTTTCAAATGTGATAATATTATTGTGGCACTTACCATTAAGAGGTCGTTGAATAAGAACAGGTGCATCTCCACTGACTGTTTTGGGTTCCTGGGGTCCGGGAGGTAGTTGAATGGACACACTGCCACCAAACATCGAAACGGCTCCTCCAGTACCTAAAACAAATCGGTTAACTCAAAGTGTATTCCTGAACGGCGGATGTTTCACAAACCGCCATATCTTAGGCCGAAACTACAGCCAAAATTACATAAGAATTACGTAAATTGCCTCATATTTACGTAACAATTGCATAACAATATTAATTTTCGGCTTGTTGGCATGATAATCTTATTTTCCGTTTGTTGGCTTATCACCTAAACAGATCTCTGGATTCAGGAGCTGAAAATTCTCTTAGCTATAATATAAAAATTAGCACCTGAAAAATGTAATGATAGCTAACAGACAGTGGAAACATGTCAATGAATGCAAGAAAACGAAAAAGATTTACTTTAAAATTATTTTTCAAAAAATATATCACATAAGAACTCTTTGAAGTGCAAGAATATTTTGAGAGTAAAAGTTTTTCATAAAACCAACCAAATTAGAGAAAACTGGAACAATGGGTTCTTTTTAAGTCAGTTGGCAAATCTTAAAATTATTACCCCGTTTCGACTCTAGAAGTAATTTAATTTTTTTTTCGCGCCATTTTCACTTCGCAATAGAAGTGCATAGTTTGTCTTCCCCTCAGTAAACGCGTTTAAATTGAGCTTATAAATGAATGAAAATTCAGTCCTCGAGAAATAACTCAAAAATAACAATACCTAAAAACAAATAAATCGCTTCGTTCAGTAACCTTGAAGAGTCATTATTACATATGTTTTTTATGAATGGACAGCGTTGACCTTCTTCGATATATAACTAAACGAAATACAAAACTGAAGGCTGGACAAAAAAGATAAACCCTTCGATATGAGTTTAAGGTGATGTACATGCTATGAGTTGAATTTTTGATTTTGATGGTACCGTTTAACATCGTATCAAAGAAGCGTAATCAAAAGTACCATGCTGCTGTTGAAGTTCTTCAGGTTCTTGGCGAGAAGGGCAATTGCAGTTGAGTTGTCTTCCGGCTGGGCGAATTTAGTGGCCTTTATGCGCTTATAGATTCCCTCCAAATAACTGTCCTCTAGATGTTTCAGCTCATCTGATTCTGCATAAATTACATTACCTTAGTTAGTCTAAGAAGATTTTCCGCGATGGAGTTTACCAACATACAAACTGTGCAACTCCTTACGGAAAAACGCTGTTGCGCCTCTGCTTATTAAAGTTCTGCATTCGATTTTTTTTTGGGTGAGAGGGCTGGGTAATGTTGCTTTACCCTCAAGCAACCAGCATGGATCATGGTGGGCCTCAAACAGCCAATTTTTGGTTGAAAAGCGCGGAGAAGTTACCACTTTACCAATGCTTCCTAACTAAGTGAGAACAATCCTTTTAGGAAGGTTATGCTAACGATTATTATTTTTCGATAGGTAAGCATTTCAATCAAGACCTCAAAAACCAGCCAGACAAAAACTCACGTCTGCAGCATTTTTTGAAGTCCTTCAGAGACATTGAGTTCTGCACATTCGAATTATGCAAGTCTGTGTTGAGAATCATCACAGCGTAAGCTAAGACATGCGCCGCAGAGGCACCTTTTGCCAATCTCTCCTCGTGACTCAGAGAACTTCCCCCCTCTGTTGTAACTGCAGGACCCCCCAACATTAGGGCTATATGTTCGTTCATAAGGGCATACACGTGACCAAAGTGCACGAGAATTCTGTCTATTTTCTGACTCTCGCCCGGCAGCCGGAAAATGGGAAGGAAGGATCTAAGGGCCTCGTCTATCTGTTTGCCTTCGAAACGCGGTCGGTTCAGCTCTACAAAACTCCTACAACAAATGCAGCAAGTAAACCATATCGCAAGCAATTGAAAACAGTCGTGGAATACAACGGATCAGTATTTGGAGCAAGAAAACTTAATAAATCCACAATACAAAAGTACAGTATGACATAAAACTAATACAGTATTAGATTTATGACATTATCTACTTTATGATAAAACTAACTTTCAGAAAGTTTATACGTAGATTATATTATGTCTAGACTAAATAATCCCTAAATGGATTTTACTATTAGATCGTTTATGCCAGTTAACTGAGCGCAAAATTCGGAATCTGAGAAAATTTGTAAAATTGATTAAGCAGAAAATTGCTCTAAAAAATTAAAAGCAACCAGCAGGTACCGCATCTCCGGTGCTTCAAACAGTTTGAAAAACGTGAAAACTGCTTATAAAATATTAGAAAAAACGAAAGAAATAAAACCGTAATACTAAACGAGGGCATTAGGTTTTTATGAAAAGTTTTTTTTTAAATCATTAAAAATGGAATATCTGGGAAACTAAGATAATTTGAGCAATAAAATTTGGAAAAAAGAGTACCCGAGACCACCCCATTATATGGTTGGGAATTAAAGATTTTGTATTAAAGATTTCCAGCAATAGGGTTGAGAAATTCCAATTTTGTAAACTTCTATATCTCAGGTTTGAACAAATCGTAAAAAAAGTGGTATCTCGGGAACTAAAATATATTGACCAAGCACATTTGAAGGTAAAAACTGCCACCCCTGGGAGTACCGTGACAGCGCCCCACTACTGGGTTGGAAACTTTACATTTGTAAATCTAAGTTTTCTGAAAATATATTAAAAAAACGTCACATGAAAAAAAAAACGTCACATCTCGGAAACTAACCACATTTGAGCAGTTGCATTTGAAAGAAAAACTTGCCAATATCTAGAGTACCCTCAGAGTACCCAAGTACAGCGTCGGGAACTTAACATTTTTTAAAAACGAAGTTTTCTGAAAATGAAAAAAAAACGTAAAACACGCCGTATCTTAAAAACTACAAAAATTTGAGCAGTCACATTTTGAGCCAAGATTTGTAACCCCTGAGAGAACCCTGGCAACACCCAAATACAGGGTTGAGATTTTCATAATTCAAGAAACTTTTCAAATTTGAGTTTTCTGAAAATTTTTGAAAAAAAATCACAAAAATCTTTATCTCGCAAAATGATTGTATCTCGTCAACTAAAAGAATTTGGGTAATCAAAAGTGGAGGCCAAATTTCCAACTCTTGAAGGAACACTGATAACATCCCACTATTGGAACTAATTTGTAACTTGGTGAAATAAACCGAACTTGAAATGGAAAAACGAAAACAAAACTCTTAACCATTGCAATTTACGATATAGCTTAAGCGAGAAAAATCCATCGTTAATCATGCAAAAATACGTTGAAAAAGCTTAAATGGAGAGTTAGAGAATCCCGCATTTAAATATATAATATATAGATAGATTCATTTGACATAATGCACTCAAAACTATCAAGCACATTTTTTTCCATAATTTGAGAGTGGTTAAATCAAAACTACAATACTCACTTTAGTACTTGGCAGTTGAAGGGCTTGTCTGATCCTAGATACTCGCCCACCTGTGTCTTGTTCAGTCCCCTCTTGTAGCAGGCGAACATGTAGGCTATGTCATCCGCACACTCACGCTCCAAGAAGCCCCGCTCAGTCAAGAAACTGATGCCTCTCTTTGGATCCCTGTCAAAATCAGAATGATTCCTTCATTGTAAAATACGGAGGCAACGTAAAAAGATTGACAAAAATTGTGATGGAAAAATCTTACTTCAATTAAACTGATATTTATTTATCTGACACCAGAGTTCATACCCATAAAGATTAGTGAACTAATGAAAAGTTCTTTCAGCATCCTTCCTTCTGTACCACAACCACATTCATTTGTCAATTTTCAAGCAACATCGCTAATTCAGGACAGTTAAAAAAGAATAACAGTTTGGAAAAGTTCGTAAGCACTTCTTCTAGCATAACTTCTAAATCGTGGAACTCACTGGTTGAATAGGAACAGACCGACTCTTATCGTCAGCTCCTGTTGGGCAGTGTACTTGAAGCCCACTTTTTTACAATTGCACAGCTGGGCTAGATTCTCTTCCAGAAAACTCCTCCGCCCCCCTCCTTCTCTGTGTCCCATGCTTCTATCTCTGTAGAGAGGGGGGACTAGTCCTTGGCCAATCGCTGTTTTCCTAAGGGTGTTGCCTCCTCCTCCTCCTCCTCCGTTTAGACTGCCACTGCCGTTGGGGGGATAAAGGGAATGGGAGTTGGATCCGCTGCTCTCACAACTGACCATCGATAATTGGGATCCTCCTAAAAATCAAACAACTAACAATGAAAAATATTCATGCTAGATCTAGTTAGAAGCGGCAAGAAAATTTTGATGAAAACATTTTTTTAGTCCCCGAAGCAAAGAGTAACTTGGATCTACTTTTATTTCAGAGTTCCATTTTCAGAAGCCAGAAGTAGACTTCCTTCAGCCATCGGGCAACTCAATTTAAACATTACTTTTGGATCACAAAATCTAGCATATTTGCGTCAGTTGTAGTTTAATTTTTTTTTCAATCGGGCACAAGACAAAATCGCATAAATATTCCGGATTACAGAATTCGGGAACATCGAACATTTTTTTACCTGCGTTGTTACGATTCAGAACTCTCACTGGCGTGGAAGGTGACTTCCTTGTTAGATACTGACTCCCACCACCATGCGTATCCTCACACGTCGAATAAATATCTCTGCCTGGGTTCACACAAAACTCATTATCTCGCTCAGCAGAATTAATGTCCAGGGTTCTGTCATTGTTGCCGTAACTCAGATTCGTTTGTCTCTGTACTAAAGATGGGGAGAGGCAACCTAAGTTACTGTTGCCTTGATGTTGCTTGTCATGTTGCACACGGTTCGGTACTACATACTGTGCTGGTAAAACAGCTCCTGGTGAGCTATTTGTGTCCCTTGACTGATGTGGTCTGTTTACATTAGAACCATTCGATGCTTCCAAGTTCGTATAGTTCAACTGTTGGTGTGAAATTTGACTTGGTTTCAGATTACTGCTTCTAATATTAACATGATCACTGCTAGAGTTCACAGCAGCACGTGGACTAGGTTGTTGAGAAGAGGTAGTCAATACAGATCTCTGTTGGTTTAGAGCACTGCTATTTATCGTGATGTCATCACATCCAATGGTAATAGTACCATTGCTGCCACTGATATCATTGGTAATACTTCTTTCGTTTCTACGTTTTGTCAGTTCTTGCTGAGTTGAGCGTGAGTTTGACTGGCTGCTAGGATTGCTATGACTATTATTCGCTTCTTTCTCTTGAAGTTGATTTGGTTGGTTTTGGTCTCCAGAGTATAAGAAGTGAGTGTTTGTGTTGTAGTTGGACTCGCAGCATTGCTGATCTAAGCATAAACACTTCATTCAGTTCAGCAACCAAAAAATGAGTTAAAATCGTAACTTTCCCAACTTCGAAAAGAATTTCACTTCAGCAAGGAATTCGATTCCACTGATGCTGAAAAAAAATCTTTTTTGATCCGACCATTGAAAATGGGGAGGAACTTTGTATTCGGGTGTTTTAGTCTTTTGTTTTTCACACAAAATCAGGTACCACAATTAATCAACGGAATATCACGTTTAAGCCCTTTCAGTCGTAATTTGAACATTTAGACTTTCAAAATATAGCCAACTGACAGTTGAAGAGTAATGAACGCAAGGAAACTGAAAAAAAAAACTTGTTTTTTTGGCATAAATTTTCAAATTTTGAACGTCGAAGAAAAAAATAGATGGCCTTAAAGCTCTTTGAATTTGTAGAACAATTTATGATGGACATTTTTTTGTTAAAATTACCCCAATTTGAGAAAACTGGATCAATGGGTAAAACTTTTATTTCGCTGGGAAATCTGATAATTAATTCAATTCTGATAATTAATTCAAAAAGTCAATCACGTTTTTCGTGACCTTTACAATTTTGCTGTTCGATAGTGGAGGCTGCCTTCCTTGTAACAATATAGGGCACTGAACCTAAAAAAAATCACAAGTCAAACCGCGAAAAATCAAAATGGAGCGTGAACAAATTTTAAGACCTTTTCCTAAAAAATTTAGCCAGAGCTATAAAAGAGTACTCACTAAGTTCATTACTACTAAAAACTGTCCCAGTGTCGAGGAAAACTGGTGCAAAAACTTTAAGTTTTAATTCAATTTCGAGCGAGTAAAGCGAGCGAACAGGCTTATTATACAAGGCTAAGCCTTGAAACTTTTATTCAAGACCCGAAAATTTGGTTTTACTCCATTTACTCTCGAAGTTTTTAGCGCCCTTGCGAGAATGTCTGCAAAAAGAAACGAGGAAAACAGATTGCTGTGCAAGTAGCTCAGAATGTTCCGACCATATTCTGAAAATATGCAAAAAGTTTTTTTCATGCATTTTGTTTAAGTTAGTGTTGTTTTTTGTGCATGGTGTGATGAAAAGATATATAGAAAACCTAAAAATTAGGCATATTCTACAGTCACATTAAAAAAGGCATATCGGCAACGTTTTTTCTTCGAAAAATTTCAAAAAAAAACTAAAACAGAACTCTGAAGGGTTTGAGTTTTTTTAAATATTTTATTCTAAAAATGGCACTAAAAAAATTTAAAAAAAATTACTACAAAAAAAAAGTTTCAAGGCTTGCTTTACTCGCTCAAAAAAAACTTAAAAAGTTCTAAGCCAGCTTTCCTCGACACTGGGACAATTTTTGAACGTTTTATTAATGTTCGAATTACGAGTAAAAATAGACAAAAAACCAAAAATTTCAAACCGTTTTTATCTCGATACTGGGATTTTTTTTGGAAGATTTAAATGTCGTTCGAATCAGGAATGAAAGGGCTTCAATATGAAAAATCACTCCACCCATTATGAGGATTATTTTTGATAAATGCTTTTGGTTGAAAAACAAAATAAGCCTGATTGCTCACCTTATTCGCTCGAAATTAGAACGAAAATCAAAAACTTCAACGGGTTTTCTCGAAAGTAAGAAAATTTTTTAATGTCGTTCAAATTATGACTGAAAGGGCTTTTATATGATACATCACTCGACCCATTCCGATGATTATTTGTATACAAAGTTCCTGTTGTTGTTTGTTCCTCGCCATACAAAGTTCTTCTCCAATTTCAATGGTCGGAATAAAAGATTCAGAAAAATTGCCTAATTTCTTCAGGGTTTTCGAGTAATTTTTCACAAAAATGCAGTCCAATTTGCAATTTTCTACTATTTATGTAAAATATGCCTAAAATCTAAGCTTTCGTCCAGATGCTTTCAGCACACCATGCGCAAAAAACGACAAATTAGAAAAAAGTTGTAGTTTTTAAAGAACATGGTCGGAACATTCTGTGCTACTTGCACAGCAAGCGGCTATTCCTGTTAAAAACAAGTTATTGTGAAATGAGAAATCAAAAGCGTTTTCTGACTCCAAAACTTGCGTTTCCTTCCTAGCGCAGCGTTGAGACTCACATTTTCCAATACCAATCTTGGTCTCACTTTCATAAGCATGGTTCTGTTCCATGTCCAGATGAAGCGCCAAATCCAATCCCAGCCTCAGGCCGAACGACAAATCAGTCGTGTCTAACATTTTTTTAAACAACAATGAGCAATACACGACTTAGTATTAACAAACAACGCGAAGCTCAGGAATTTCACTAAGGTCCTGTTCACAACATAGAACCCAAAATGAAGAAAAAGTAGAGCAAATCAAAATAAAATTGAACCAGAACTTCGCTTTATAAGTCTTCAAAATTGATCTCTTCTCAGCTAATACTTCTTCGCTCCAAACAAATAACAATTGTTGGGCTTCTTTTGATAAGTGAATATTCACCAGACAGGTCAAATATGACCAACAAAACAAACAGTGAAGAGTTACTAGTGTTCTAGATGAAACAGAATAAATCCTATCTTAAACGAACGGTTAACTTTATGAGGTAAAAATAGGGTTAAAGCTATAAGCAAACTTCTTACAAGTTTAACGCAGGAAATCAGACTTTAAAGAAAGGTAACTTAGCAATCTCGGAGTCTAAATTAAAAACTAAGATCAGATTTAAAGTACATACGATTTGAATCGAGATTCGAAAATCATTTAAATGATCAAACTTCTGTTACAACGTCAAAACAACAGACTATCAACATATCTCAAGATTTTAGAACCACTTCAGAACTAAAACTATTTTATCGACTACTATTTTTGGAAATTTTTGAACTTGTATACGATAATATTCTAGAATTCTGTAAAGAATACTCCTTTTATAGTAAATAACAAATTTGGTATGTGAAAAGCGAGATATGAAGTATTTTTCAATGAGTTACAGCAGCTTCTCAACTACATTTTAGACCATTAAGTAAACAAATCGAATACCAACAAGTTAAGTCACTTATTTATTGCAAAACGATCTTTATCAGACTTTAAGAAAAATTCTGCTTATAAAACAGGGAAATAGAGTAATGGCCTCCGCTTGTTCGCATTAAGCATAATCTGATTTATCTTGGTGCAATAAACATTTGAAAAGCCTGAAAATCAATAACCTAGAAACATCTAGAGCAATTTCACATTTCGTATGTACGAAAAAAGAAAAGAGTTCTCTTGCGCAAACCAAGAATACATGAACTATACTTCATGTAGTACTTGCAAATGGCTATTTTAGCAGCTAAAAATCTATAACGCTATCAGTGTCGACTCTTTTTGTAAGACAATCGTTATTAACATCCCTAAGTCTTTGCCAGAGTATTTACTTCCAGTGAAATTTCAGATCAAAGGGAAACGAATCGCTCTAATGACGTGATAATGTTTACTCACATGGTGTGGTTGGAGTGGTCTGATTTGAGAGAGTCAATGGCGAAGCGTTGAAACTGGAATTACAGTTCATCTGCTCACTGCACTCATCCGAGCCACTACTCGTATGTTCCGAGTACGTCGAGTTCCGGTGAAACTCCCCACCACCCACAGAGTTACCATTCGCACAGCTACGCGAGTATTCACCAGAGGCCGAGATATAGTCGTCTATGTTTATGTAATTAGTCAGAAGCTGCTCGTTTCCGCTATTCTGAGAAGTGGTCGAATTGGTCGCTGAGTGATTTCCCGACGTGCATTTTGTTTTATCTTCAACAGCGTCAACGTTGAAGGGATTCTTCGCCAGGAGTGCTTCCTCGATTTTCACATTCTCATGCGCGATCTTTTCATTGGTCACAGCCATAACGTCGTGCTCGTAAGTTCTTTCAGCAATTCTGTTTTCCAATTTTGCACCGTAATTGAATATATCTTCTTCGCAGATGTTTGCATCAGTCGGTTTCACTCCTCCGAGGTCTGACAAAAATCTGGTTCCTGAGGAGTGTCTTTGCATAGCCGTCAGTCTTGATTCCGAACTCTTCCTCGGAGGAGCGGGCGGAGGTACTTTGGACGATTGATTCCTCTTAGGTGCTCTGGGAGCAGCAACAATATTAGGATTTCCGTCTGCCTTTCCATAGGATTCCGATTTCATCTGAGGCAACGGACTGCTTAGTAGATCGGCAGACTGTTTGCGTCTCTGCACGTAACACTGCTGGAAGTATGTTTTCAGCCTGTAGTTGCGATATGCCCTCTGAATAACAATGGCCGCCTGATGTGCTCTTTTGAAGTCAGAAGCAGTCAGGCCCAGGGAAATAAGCACCTGTGAATTGGAAAAAAAATCAGGAATTGCTCCATAAAAGATTTTTTAAACCGTTTTTGCTTAAAAACTTTTTTGCTATGTAAATTCTTGTGAATCAAAGAACCTAGTCGAACTATGTTTCAAGTCAGTTCAAATTTCCAAAATATACCCTGTTGCGTGCCACGTGTCTCAACTCCGGTGAGAATTGATACTCGTCTACCACAGCTTTACTTCGTCTAGCTCTATCATTCTCCCTGTCACTAGCACCAGTCGGAATCCCTCCCCTATGATTTGATGTACTGCCAGTCACACTTCTCACATCGGACTGTCCTTCCGGTACCTGGGAGTGTGGTGTAATCTGTGAGTTGTTGAGGAGACTCTGCTGGTATTGTCGTCTGATGTCATGGAAGTTGCGACAGATGAAGTCATCCGAGTTGGGACTGTCAGAATCGCCATAGCTTAAAACAGCAGTTTTAGAAAACTAAATAAACCAGAGGCGAACCATCAAATGATTTTTTTTCGAAGGACAATTATTTTCACTGAAGCTGAATATAGCCATTTGTTCCGGTCATCGTCAAAAAAAAAAACAATCGCATTTCAAAACTACATCATCTAAGGAAATAACTTCATCTTCGAGGCTTCAATTTTTTTGAGGCATTTTGTTATAATTGAGGTATTTTATAACTATAATAAAATCTAGAATTAAGCCTCCTGCATTCAATTTAAGCCCCCTTTCGAGGAGGCATTAGTTGATGAAAAAGTTCGCGGTGAGTTGCCATCAAGGCGTCAAAAAAGCAAAAAAAAAACAATAAAAAGCACTTTCAAGAAAATATAAATTCTTCACATGAATTATTACTCATAGTTTAGATCTACTAATTTACGGCAATTTGCCAATATTTCAAAAAGTTAAGCTTTGGAATGACCCCTACAATTGAATGGAAGTGAACTCTTGAAATATCCCAATGAACTCCCAATTTCTATTTCATACTCGCTTTCTGCTGTGGAAAGCTCTTCTACAGTAATGGGTACACAAGAACTTACAGGTTAAGGGGAACATAAGGGAAGTGATTAGGACTGTTGATATAGGAGGACCTCTTTGAGAGCCTTCTATTACCATCTCTGTATTCACTATCTCGCTGCCTCTGAGGTCTCAACAAGGTGGGCGAGCGTAACAAATGAATCGAAAGCGAATGAGAAGAAGCTGAAGAGGAGCAATGAGATGGGTTGGGGGAGGGAGGAGTCGAGAGTGACATAGCCCCCCGTCCCCCTCTCGAACTGATTCGGTGGGAGGAGTTTGATCCTCCTTGGAACCCCGAAGAAGAACAGGACTGAGCACAGATCGAGGGATTGATGGCTTGGAGGAAACAATTCATGACTACAGTACTGACAGTTAATTAAACAAAATAGTCGCAGGACTCATTGGATAACTTCACTCAGTAAGACTGATCAAGAGTATTTAGTATCAAAGCGGCAGGGAAGATTCGACGACATGGTCCAAAAATCGACGACGGATCATTAACGATCTAAGAAACGAAATATTTTGCGAACTAAATGATGGCGTTGCTAATGTGAAACAATTAATAATGTTGGTATGGTATCTAGTTCTGGGTTGAAAAATTGGAACAGATAGTGGGAGGATTAAAATAGGGGTTCAAAATTTAAACTCAAGAACGAAACACTTCGGGAGGGTCGCCTTCCTTTTCGCAGTCCGAGTTGAGCTTGGGATTCTTCTGCGTGTAAACTCTCACACTTTGTGAAAAGATAACAATAACACTTGTGCGAACTTGTTTCAAACTAGCCCCAAGACTTCCAAATTTCTTCCAACCATGACCGGCCAAAGAATCTTGTTTGTACTAAAGTTGGTTGGTAGTACAAAATAACAACTAACCGATCAAATGGGGCGGAAATCAAAATGATATTGTACAACGGTAGCTGAGCTTAAGCCAATCATGGTTCGACAAGCGAATAACTATGACGAGTCGTCAACTTCATCCATAAATTTATGCAATGACTTAAGTTTCGATAGTAAAAAAACTCCCAAATTTCTATGAGTTATCCAGGAATATCGTACTCAGATTTAAGATCACATTTTGCGAAAGACGCCCGGAATTTCGCAATGGACATCGATCTGCTTTTAAAACATTCTGCTTCTAGGTGCATCGGCCTCTACGAAATAGAGAAGACAGTCGAGTTAAGATTAACGACAAGAGACATACTGCATCAAAGAACAAGCAGTACTCAAACACAAGATCTAAATGGTACTAACAACTAACAGTCACTGTTTGTAAGTAAAACATAACACAAGGAGACAAGACAATTATTGCCGAGACAACTTAAAGACCTACCTTTCAGGGAAAACTATAATTGGTACATTTTGGCAATAACTTGAATTTGGTAGTGAGATTTGCACCGGAGGCTGGGCTGGGTAAAAGGAATTAAAGAACGAGTTTACCCTGAAGGTCTTTTTTCAAGTTACCTCATTTTGCCCTCATAAAAGGAGGATTGTATACTTTGCAAACTGGCGACAAGATAAAGACGGTAAGTAACACAGCAGGTGGTTTTGGTTTCAGTTTCAAATCTTTCTTCATTTTCACCAGCAAACAAACAGCTGAACTAAATATGCCAATCTCTATTTCTGTTCACACTTCGATGATTTTCAACAACTTTCCTCTTCACATATTGGTAATAATCAGATCTTCATAAACCACCACAAATAGTTACATGGTAATGTATAAGGTTGGTGGGAAAGCGGGTTAGTTTCTCAACTGGGCGAAGAATTATTACCATCCGGTCTTCATTTATCAACAAGGCCACCGACTTACCACAAAAACAAGCGTAACACTAAAAGAAGGCGGCTTTTAGTCCACACAAAAACGCCCAATTACACACGAAGTATCTAAGCAAGACTCAAACTCTGCAGCATGTCTTAAAACTATAATATTAATTCTTGTTCATTTTTTCACGGTCATTACAATCAGTCATTAAAACATTATGCTAATTGAGCGCTCGCTCATGAGAAGACAGCCTAAAATTAGACTCACATGGAAAGTATAATATTACGCACGCTAAAATAGCCTCTGCGTCGCTTTGAAGCTCTTTTGTTTGTGCAAGCCCACTGGCTAGAGCAATTTCACCCCCCAATTCCTTCAAAATAGAAAGTACAATATTCAGTACACTGTACTACTTCAACAAGGTAAACGAAAGATGCGACAGGCAAATTGTTTGAAAAACCGACAAGACATGGTGGGAAAGTCCAACAATTGAGGTCAGCAGCCATCTACTCTTCTATTTATGAAAAAAAAGTAACTGCCTTCAGAGACGGACGGCCAGATGAGTAAGTTATTCGCGGTCATTAAACATAATGTCACAGAAATTTTCTTATATTCGGTAGATAGACGAACCCGCTTAGCTCGTAAAAATTTCCGACACAACCTGTCTTTGTAACCAAGTTTGCAAAAACCGTCCATCGCCCAATTCCTCGCAGAAGATAATAGTTTCATGCTGGGGGACCTAAATAGTCACTCTTCTGTGTGGAATTCAACCATTTCTGAATAACCGATGCAATAATCAACTCAATTTTTACTCCGCCCAAAGATTTTAACCATACCATGCTCCCGTATGACAGCACACCAACATTGTCGCCAGATTTATCACTGGCACCTCCGTCTTTTTTACTATCACTCAGCTGGTTACCTCTTTAAACCTTAGAATCCGATCACCTGCTAATTTTATTTCAACTTCCTTTAAGCGACGGTATTTTTTCTCCGAGAAAAAAAAAAGCTTAAATCAAGAAAAAAGAGCGTTGGAATTTTAGCAATGAAATCGAACAGGCGGCCGAGAAACAACTAGTGACACAATTTTAGAGGCCGCTCGTCGCCATAACCTGCCGGTCCCCCGCGTTGCTTAAAAAAGCTCAAGCGAAACCCAAACACAGATTCTTTCCGTCCAGTATCAATCTTTAGCCCGGTCACAGAAGAGGCCTTGACCCACCCAACTCTCGCCAACCACTTACCAAAGGCCATCCACCAACCAACATCGTTCTGACCTTTGCCCTCAACTACAACAGCCTTATCAACTCGAAATGTATATAATATAGCCAATCGAAGATTGGAAAAGAGTGATGAACGCAAGTAAACATGAAAAACACTAACTTTCTTGAATAAATCATATAGATAGCACTTTTTAAAAATAAAAATCGGGTAGTAAATTTCAGGTACGAAATTCCAAAGCGTCACAAGAATGAAAATAAAACCTAGCAAACTGACAGTTGGAAAAGAGCAATGAAGGCAAGTAAACAGAATAAAAAAGACTGACTTTGAAAAAATCTCAAATTTCGAATTTCACAGAAAAAAATAGATACCCTTTAAGCTCTTTGAATTTCTTGAGCGATAAATGATTGACCACTTTTTTGATAACAATAATCCAACTTGAGAAAACTGGATCAACAGGTAAAGTTTTTATTCTGCTGGAAATCTAACAATTAAATTCCATTTTCGGAACTAGAAATTGTTCACGTTTTTTCGCGCCTTTCCACGTTCTATTTGGAGAGTGCTCACTATCAGCAGATGAACTTCAATTGGACTCAAAAGTGCATATACACCTAAGTGCGTTCATAAACGCATCAATATGTATGAATGCACATCTGTAGTTAGGGAATTTAAAGGCTTTTTCCTGAAAAAAACTAACAAAAAAATCAGCAAGACCTATATAAGAGTCTTCACTAAGTTCATTACTCTTAATCGGTACTACTTATCAAAAAAGACCAGAATCGACCGATAATAGCCACTCTCAATTTGTCTAAGCCTTCGACATGGTGTGCTAGCGTGCGCTTCGTAATCTTCTTCAGGGCTCTAACGTACCCGGTGGTTTTTGAACTACCTGAGTGGGCTCCACGCCATGACATTTTTTTTTTTAAAATTAGAAACAACCTGTCGACAAGCAGGATTGTCCGAGAAGGGTATCCTCAATATTCAGTGTTATCTCATAACTTTTTTTAAACTTTTACATACATGATGCTCCTTAAAGGCCTCCGAAGTAAAACTTCAATCTTACTCGATGACTTCCACTCTTTTGTTCAATATTCTGGTTAAAAAGAATCCGTTAATTAAAGCAATTATTAAAGCAAAATGCACAGGTTTTTGACAAAAGACACTTGATTCTTACATTGGCAAGCCGATGTGAGCCTATTCAGTTACAACAATAAAAAGTAAATCACATTCGACTGTTTTATCTCAATATTGCAAGATCCCTAAGAGTTTCAATAACATGAAACCTCAACACACGCCTAAAATTCTAGGCAAATCATGAAAAAAACATGTTACAGGGAAATAGCTATCAGATTTTTTTGAAGTTAATTATGTGAACTAGATACAAGGAGCCAACGGTTAATGAGCCTATCGCAAACTTTGCTCAATAATTAAAACAGAAACCGAGAGAAAAAAAACAATTATTTTGAATTTCAGTTTTCTCAACTTCAAGCGGACGGTTGCTTCTTGCGCAACAAAATTTTTGGAGGAAGATACATGATCAAATCCAATCTTGATTAGATTTAAATCATGAAATGTAATGAACAACAGGCTAACTAGCCGATGACAGAATTTAAAACTTTTTGATTTTTAGAAAAAAAATCAGTACGCCACACGCTACTCTGCCACCTGATTCATTAAGACTTCGGAAGGAAAGGCAGGCAGAGCAGTGCATAATTTAAAGGTTCATTATAATTTAAGCACAACTCGTTTAGAAAATAAATCATAAAACAGGCAGTTAATTCTGAAGATAATGAAAATGAGTATGTTACCACTTGCACCAGATATAACAGTCACCACTTCATGTAGTCATTGTTTTCGTTAAAGAGTAAGTAAAATACTCTTCAGTTACGTCGCGTTTTAAAGTGCTGCGATTCAAATTGAAAAAAAAACTAATTTGTCAAGGAAGATACATGTTTTTAATTCTAACAATCAACTGGACTGACCAGGAAAATTACTATACGTCAGTAAATACTTCACTGAACAATCTTAATTGCTCCTGATGGAGTAAATGTTGCAATGACCCAAACTTAACAGCCACGCATGATTGAGTATGCAAAATCGTTTACTTGCAGCAATGAAAAAAACCTCAACAAATAGGCATACCGACACATCCAAAGCAAACGAAAAAAAAATATTGGCAAGAAGGAGATCTAGAAAACTACAGCACGTTCAACACAATATCATATATGAGCTGAGCACCACTTGCGATACAACAATTATAGGACGACTGCACCATGATGGTAGAAAAAAGAGCAAACAGAACTTCGAACGATATAACAATTGAAGGAAGTTGAAAAACGAGAAAAACATTTCATGTTTGAATTTTTATGTTTTTCAAAGAGGTCCTAGTGGGTTGAATTGGGGCATTTTAAGGGAAAAAATTCAGTAAATAAGGCAACAGAATTGAGTCGACATCCAATACGCTGAAACGCCAAAACCTTTTGTCAAAAAAACTTATGAGAAAAATTTCATGTAATGCCCACAAAGGATCTACGATAGATATATCAGGAGCGCATGCAAAGTAGACTACATAAGTTAGAAACGAAAAGGACAGAGCTTAAGTCCACGACCATGAAGCCGAAAAATCATCAGCAGAAAATTATTATCAAACTCTATAATTATACATACAAAAGTTTGAGTTCTAGATATAATAACAAGTACCCTAGCAGCAGCGGTAGTTAAATTTGAATTTTCATCAAATTGAGCATGTCAGCATCGTAAGTGATTCAACTGATTTTGTTAAACTAGTTGTTTACCCGAAAAAAGTCCATATTCCGAGTTGATAACGC